TCAGAAAATTCAAGACATGCTATGCCATACTGCAGCTATGCTACACCTGACACATTATGATATCTACCATAGCGGAGCATTCACCATCCGCCACTGATTATAGAGCCTCAAACTTTCAGCCCAAAATGGTCAATGATGAAAAAATCTGAAATAAACAAAGAACCAGCCGAGCATACAGCACAAACTAACATGGCCTCGTCTCAAATTATACAAAATCCATCGGGGTTTTTTCTATTTTAATTACATAGTAAGGAATATTTTTACGTGTCACAACATCTTTAAACTGAGGATATGGCTTTTAGATACCGACACAGACGTTTATTTTTAGGCCCAACACTTTTTCACTCCTCTACTTGTTCAAATTGCATTTTTTATAAGTATTTAACTGAACAATAATTGACAGTCTAAAATGAGCATCAGAGCGTAAATGACTGATAAAACATTCAAGTATGAACAAACTTCTTGAAATACATTCAGAACAAATGTTGATTTGGACAAATTCAATAAAATATTTTACTTCATAGAAAGTAAAATATAATGAAATAAAGGATGGTTTCATAATTTGACATTGCATCAGATATATAAAAGGTAAACATAATTACTTACAGCTTCAGATATAATTTAAATTTCTTGTAAATTTAGATTTGGATGCAATCAGGTCTCATGCAAGAGCGAATACTTTGTTTCCAGTCATCTTCATTCAGTGTATTTTGTCTTATTTGAGCTCTGATTCTGGCATGATTCTGCACATCTGGATGGAGAATAACACAAACTGCTCTATATTTTAACACTCCATCCCCTTAAAAACACATTAGATTTACCCAGCGGTGTCCCAAGCAATTAAAAATACATCCTACCATACAACACCATATCGTACCACCTGAAGTTATAGAGCACTGTAAAATAAACTAAGGTCCACAAAGAGTTGTACAAATGAAAATTACATAAAAATAATGAAAAAGAAACATGTTTAAGAAAGAGTCAACCTCTTAAAATTTGCCAAAGGTCTCAGAAAATAAATATGTTTTAAAAAGATTAATGGACTCAAAAGGACAGATTATTCCAGACGGTTGGGGTCTCAGCCCAACAGAGCACATTAGGGTTGTGGTGTATTTGTGGAGATAGTCATCATAGATGTCCAGCCGACAAACATGAAATAATCCTGTGATAATAATCCTGAGATAATCCATCTCACTGTGGAGCCAACATCTCCAAGGTATTTTCCTGACACCTTGTTGAATCTTTCCCACAAAGAATTATGGCAGCTCAGAAGGGAAGAAGCAGCTCTAACCCAGTACGTAATAAAAATATTGATTTGAAATCAGCAGAAATGTTTAAATCGAGGTAGCGCTTAGTGACAGTGCATCATGACAGCTAATAAACCAAAGGTGTCAGGGATCCACACGTTTTCAGCTGTCTTTGTGAGAGTCTCAGAAGGTACAGTGACAAGGGTGATGTATTAACTAATAACCAAATGGCTGCGAGCGTTGCTACCGAGCCCATTCATTTCTCTAAAGTGCTGTATACACAGAGCTGTGCAGGAGTAATGGACATGATGTAATTTATATTGCCGGGAGAACTAATGAGCTGCTGGAGAAGTGTTTTTTTTTTTTTTTTTAAGTACCCTTTACTTTAAAGAAAGACAAAAATCTGGCATTTTACTTTAGGCTTCGCTCACACTGCAGCCTGTAGAGAAACAATTCCTATTTTTTGCCAAATTGGATTTTTATTTTTGCCACGGTCGTTCACACTTCCAAAAACATGCGATCTGTATGTGAACGAAAGTGTCCCGCACGCCCAGTAGAGGGCGCAATAACGTCACACAGAGAGCGTTCTCAGCAGTGCTTTGCCAACTGCCAGAAGAAGAAGAAGAAGAAGAAGAAGAAGAAGAAGAAGAAGAAGAAGAAGAAGAAGTACCGTAGTTTGTGCTCAGTGTTTGCGGAAGTAAACATGGAGGCTAACGATGGAGCATAGCTTACGATTTTTAAGTTGTTGTCGATCGGAGCCAATATATTAACAACTTAATCCTCATTATAGTCCGTCATGGTGGTTGTTTTTCCTTCCATTTGTGAGTATCAGGAAGCAGAATAGCGACGTTTGTCGAGTATCAGTGACGTTCAATTCGGATGAACGCGACCTGGACGTTAAATCGCTTTTGAATCGGATAGTATCGGATCCCCAAGTGGACTGGGTCGCATTGGAAAATAGTCCAACCTGTGTTGTTTAGACTGTCGTGAAAAGATCGAAAACAGGTCAGATTGAGGCAAAAATAAATAAATAAAAATATGAATTGAGTCACTTCGGGCTGCAGTGTGAACTCAGTCTTACTCGCACCGATTAAACTCACTTAAAGTACAATCTGAATCGACACTCGCCCCTTCCTCCTCTCCCAACAGCTCGTGTATTTTAGGATTTTCTGTTGCATTCGCAGATGAAATTGTGCAAGGACAATGAGACGATCAGGATGGATTCCATGTGTGCAAATTTGTTCATGCTGAGCGTTTGACCTCTGAAACATGTTAGAGAAATGTGCTCTCCAGGGCCAGATGGTGCTGCGGAATATACAATTACTGTAGCTCAGGGACGCTTTAGAAGAAAAACTGTGAAATATGAGAGATGAGGGAAGAAAGAGAGGTGGAAGGTCCTAACTGTACAAATATTAGCTTTTTCTGCTCTGCCTTTGAAAATATTTGAATGGAGCTCGTTTTGTTTAACAGCCTCATAAAAATTCTTTAATGCTTGAATGGCTTGGGAAGCCGTTCAAACACCCCAGACTAAAATGCAATCAGGCTGGGGTGGCTGGTGATGCTCACATCATGAAGACTCAAAATTAGGTACATTTACATTTTTACGCACAGAAGCTTTTCATTTAAGGTTTTTTTGTTGTTGTGCAGACATTGCAACCTATAATGCCTTAAAAACATTTCCCTGCAAAGTTTATGCCTATTCATGGAAACTCTGCTATGTTTAGACAGTTCAGTATTCACAGATTCAACAATTTGAGGATTTTTCTGTGGAACGTAACTCCAAATTATTAATGAAAAATTTGCCTGTTCAAAGATTTTTCTGTCAGATCCTATGAAGGAAATGCAGGTTGGTAGCAGAAATAAATGGGCTCAATGCTACTGGACTTAGTATTGGCTGGCTTTTGTGCCCCCAATAGTGGAAATAAGGAAATCTGTAGATATTAGCTTCTGTGTTAGGGCTAAGACAGTTTCTACTCACCATATTATTGCATATTAAGGGACACTCACCAGCCACTTTATTAGGTACACCTTACCAGGTTTGACCCCCTTTGCCTTCAGAACTGCCTTAATCATTTGAGGCAGAAATTCAACAAGGTACTGGAAACATTCCTCAGAGAGTCTGCTTCATATTGACATGTTAGTGTCACGCAGTTGCTGCAGATTTGTCTGCTGCACATCCATGGTGCCAATCTCCAGTTCCACCATCCAAAAGGCTTTCTATTAGACTGAGATCTGGTGGTATTTTTAATAAAAAAACATACCTCCCCCATACTTTAAGCATACTACAGGTTTATTTTATCTTTATCAGACTAATTAATGTCCTAAAACTATTTACAGACAGTCCAAATACAAATAATATTGTGCTTCCTCTGGTTGGCAGATTTTAGAAAACATTATTAAAAAGGAAAGTTTTCTAGCGTTGCAATATTCAGATCACATAGATTTAGTACGCTTAGTAAATTTAGTGAGGCTGAGAGTTGTTTTTGATAAATCATTAAATCTAATTATCCATGTTTCTGACATCTCATTTTTACTGAACTCCTCTGTCATCACTTCCTGTTTTCCTGACGTGTTGCATTAACGACCATCTTGGTGCTTTGTTGACAGCCAATTAGTCAGGTTTGTCTGACAAACATCAAGTCAAAGCTCGGCGTAACAAATCACCTTCCACTGGGCGCTCGTCTCCAGCTGTGTTTGTTTTCTCTGCAGCTTCGAGTCATTTGCATATTTCATCAGCGCTGTACAAGACATGCGTGTCGTGTTTTGGGGGATTTTGCCTGATTTTTATATCCTGTTAATTGGAGCACTTCACTGATTTCAACACTGAAAAACTCCTTGGAACTGTAACCGGATTTTTACATAAACCGAGTAAAATGACACAAAACCTTTCTTCCCCCTCATTTTGTAGCATTAAATCAGACTATAAGTTTCCTGGCTGAGATTAATTAGGATTACCAAAACTAAAAAATGCCAAAATGACACAGTTTTATAGTTTTTGTTAAAATTGCCTGAAACAGTAACGCCCACAAGCTTGTTGCAATATTTTTCTGACAGAACTAGTGTGGATATTTTTATAGGACACCAAAACGTTTGACTTTGGTAACTTTAACCCATTTTCTAACTAATTTGGTTTTATGCATTGTGCCATTGTCCATTTGGGAGATCAACATGAGCTCAGACTTTGACTTTTTGGTCGATGTTTCAAGATGTTTCTTCCTTTTTGCTGTTTGTTTTGTGAGTAATGCTGGTCTCTCCTGCAGCTCAAAAAGCACGATGGATCCAACCCTGTACTTCACAGTTGGGATGATGTTGCCAAGCTTGCAAGTTTCTGTTATATTCCAAATTTACTGTGGCCTTAATGGCAGAACATAACTTTCTATCTCACTTTTGAAAACGACTTAAACATGAGGAAATTAAGGTGAGTTTGCGTGACTTCTTTGAGGTTTGTATGTTTGATGTGCTCTTGTAAAACGTTAAGGTGCTGAAATCATTGTGGTGGAATTCACAGTGTCCTGCTGCACCATGTTTGGTACTTCAGCTTCACATAATGTCACCAACAATGTTTGTTCTCATAATAAAACAAGAATAAATTGACTGTCTCAGAGTTACACCCCAAGGCCCTATGAGTTCCTCAGATTAGATAATTATGAGCTGAGAAGCAAATGAAGCAAATGGCAGATTATTTCACTCATAACAAACTACTTTTCATCAATATTAAGGAATTATGACTTTAAAAAAGCTCTTATATCTTACTGAAAAGTTACTTGTGGGTTATTATGTCTGATTTCAAGCGTAATAAGATATTCTCAATAGAAACTAGACCAAAAATACTCGGTAAAAGTTTGTGTTTTTGCAGCGTGGAAATCATTTTGACCTCCTGACTGAATTCAAACAGGAAAAGTTTAGTCTGGTATTAATTTAGGTAGTCAGGGGAAATAAAGTATTTAAAAATAATGCTTTGAGGTGTTTCAGATCTTGATCTATTTATGTCTTCTCTGCATGCTAACAGTTCACATCATGCATAAATTGAAAAATGTGTGAAAAATAAAGCAGTGTGTCATTTTTATAATTAATTTCATACAGGTTTCATAAAGCCTCCAACCATACCTCCATGTAGCTGTTTTGGTGTTGACTTCACTTCGGTTGCCTCGTTCTTACACCCACCTGACTAAAGAAATACGACTGCTGCTCTAATTAGCTGGTGTTTAGACTGATTACGCCTACCTCTCTCCTCCCTCCGGTGGCTCCGGCTCCTGCCTTCACTTTCTCCAAACACTCGGAGGAAAATGTACGGGAGCTGACACTAAATGTCAACGATTTCGAGATTATCTGAGGGAACAGAGCACATTCGGCTGTGACTAATTGCAGCTGCAGCTCTGACGAAATAAATCTCTGTTGTCATGCATGGCTTTCTTCTGAGATTTTCCGTACAATCATTAAACCACTTAAGTAGCAGAAGTATAGCAGGAACCGAAGGCTGTGTAACATACAGCCACAAGCTCAATAATGTTTCAGTTTAATGTCCTTGTTTACGTCCATCTCCTCGCATCTTGTCAGCAGCTGTGATTGTAATCAAACTTTACACCCCCCATCAGCTCCAGCCTGCCTGGGTAAAATTGAGCTGTTTCCTGAAAAGTCTGCCGTGGCTCGTCTCAGTCCATCAAGCCATTCTCAAGCTTTTTCCTGCAGATGCATTAGCCACAGTTTTTCTTTATGCATCCTTCATACATTTTCAGTTTTGTGCCGACGACGTCCTGGAGTGTGTGACAGCTGAACAATGTGACTGACTGCTCCGTCAAATTCACTGCCAGGAAGCGTCAGCTGCACTGAAGGAGGCTGAAGATCGCTCTGTTACTGGATCCAGTTTCTAAAAAATAAACTCTAGTTATTGTAAAACATTTGGAGAACAAACTTCTATAAATTATCTAATCAAAAAAACTTCAAATTAGCATAAATGCAGTAGTCTCTTTTAGAAGTAAATCTGAAAGTAAACTCAAACTGAGAAAAGTAGTTTTTACTTTTTCGTCCAAATTTAAAACAGATTTGGGGCAACAATAAATGTATTTATTCCACACTGTCATTATTTATTAAACAAAGATGAATCCAGAATAGAAAATTAAATACGTCCCATGATTCAACAGATCTTGGTGTATTTATGTCGCTTTCAAAAGTGACACAAATAGACACTTTTATGTCATTTTGGATATAAAAGTGACATATTCACATTTCAGTATTTGCTGATCTTTCTGTGGAACATAACCCAAAATTATTCATAAAAAATTCACCCATTCACAGAGCATAGCTAAAATATTTTAAATGAAAGTAGCATGGGAAGCTGAAATATAGTTTGCTACTTGACACCCTATTGGTTGGCGTTTGGAAAGCCCAGCATTCATAAATTCTAACTATAAGGATGTTTTCACACTTGATAGTCCAGTAGATTCAGTTCAAAATTGCAACATTTGTTATATTTTCTGGTGCTGTCGTTTGTTTTCACATTGCACTGTCAAACATCCAAACTCTTTGAAAAACCTGTTCCCCTCCTCACCTGTGGTGGCGCTGCAACAAGAATCACTGAGGAAAAGGACATGAAAACCTCTGAAGAAAGCATTAAGTGGAGCCTCCTTCTTCACAAAATGTAAATAAAGAAAGTGGAGCAGTGTCTTTGGTGAAAGACCAAGAGGCATTTCTCCCTCTAGTGCTCGCGCGTTTGTTTTGGTTGTATTTACCCATGATGCCCTTCACTATAGTTTGCTTCCTGCTTTTGAAGGAGTCTCCAGACCACTTGCATTCACATATTTATTCAAACCGCACCAGAGTTCACTTCAACAGGACCAGGAACAAGATTTTTAGGTGGACCAGATTTCGCTTTTGTCCGCATCAGTTTGATTACGCATTCACATCACAAACACACCGACTGTCTACACAAACAACTAGAGATTTATTAAAGTGGACAAAACTTGGCTGCTCTGCAAAAACACAAAATCTTACCAAGTACTCTTGGTAAGATTTTGATCTAGTTGCAAGTAATTTTTCAACAAGATAAAGGAGCTTCTTTTAATGAAATACTTACTTAATATTGATGTAAAAGTATCAGTTCCCCTGGTAGATTATTTCAGTTACAGCATGGGGAAAATGTCTTGTTATAAGTGAAATAATGTGGCAGTAGAACAAGTACTTTTTAATCAATATTAAGAAATTAACTTAAAATAAGCAACTATCTTTCTGAAAAGATAGATATAAAAAAGCTTGCTCTCATAGAAATCCAAAGGAAAGTCCAAAGGACACATTCTGACACACAGCCTGTGTTTCAAACCTTTAACGTTTTCAGTGACCTTTAGTAGATTCTGCTGTGTTTGTATTTTGCTAAATATGTTTTTGAATTTGTTTACTTTGTTCAGTCATCTAATTATTTTCAGTGATGACACTTATGAGTCCTTCTGTTTCCACACATCTAAGGAATGCCTGCTGCTTTTTGTATTTTGTTACTCAGTACTTTGTACCTTTTTGAACGAGTTATAAGGGTTTGCAGGTTACAAAAACATCTAACCAGAGGAAAAGATATTGTCAAAGAAGACATTTTAATATAACTGCCATAAAAGGGTTGCTTGTGCAACCTTTTCAGGAGGAATGGCAAGATGAATCTTCAAAATCCATTAACATTGCCAGAAACGTGCAGATGGTGACAGAGGCTTTTTAGCAAAGAAGGAAATGCATCCCAGCCTCACATGTGTACTTTCTGTTCCAACATGGCCACCTTTCCTGCCTCACAAACAGACCAGATTCAATCCTCTGAGACTTTCTGGTGTCTTTGGAGGTTTCTCATTCCAGCGTTGTTCTCAGAAGGTTCTTAAACATAACAGAGTAATCACATGTCCCACAGCAACACGTGCTCAAAGAGAAGAAAGGCTGCATATGATAAAAGGTTTTGCATCCCTCTGCTCCCAGAAGACGTCCAGCTGTCTTTGCAGATTCAGTTCTGTGAAAAAGTATTTCCCTCCATAGATATTTCCTCTGTCCAGTTTTGTTTGGGCTAGATAAACTGAGTAAATGCAAAAAGCGGTTTTCAAATAAAGATTTTATTTTTTAAGGTAGAATAACTTTTTATATCAACCTTACCCTGCATAAGAAAGTGGTTGCTGCTTTTTTATGTGGTGGCTTTAACTGGGATCCAGTGCTTGGACTGGTAATAAGTTTATTTTTGTCCATTCTTCCTTGCTAAATTGTTTTAATTCAACTACATCAGATTATTTCCGAACATGAACAGCTTGTTTAAGGTCACACAACAGGATCATAATTAATGCTGCAGCTAACGGTTATTATAGCAATTGATGATTCTATCAATTAATCAGGAAAAAAAGCAGAACATTCTGCTTATTTTTTACTTACCAAGTAAGCTTATTTTATGCAATATTAAAATATGCTAAAAAAAAATGCATAAACAAACAATTAAGTTCCTATTTCTTAACAAGAAAATACACTATATTGTCTAAAATACAAAAACATTGCATTTATTCAGCATATGCTTGATCATTTGTAGCAAAGAATGCATCTACAGATAAATGCATATACAGATAAATAAATACCTGTAGATATATTTAACCCTTTGTAATGGTTAAATGCAGGGCTATTATTATTTGTTCCAAATAATACATTGTTTCCAAAATTCTAAACGGAAAGTGAACCACCATATTGTCAAAGAAGTGCAGCGAAGCCTGACAGATGAACTACAACAAAAAGAAAGTATTATATAAATTCTTAACCAATGTTCAAGAGAAATCTATATCAACAAAATATCTGCTGTTGGGATCAACCCATGAGACAGAGAATGGAAACATGTCAGACGACGAGAACAACCTGCCTCCTACTGCGTTCACACTGCAGCCTGAAGTCACCCATTTCCGATTTTTTTGTCAAATCGGTTTTTTTTTTTTTTTTTTTTTTTTTTTTTTTGCCGGCCCTCCACACTAAAAAAAAAATACGGCCTTTGTGGCTTTTCGCGGGGGA